AACTAAAATTTTAATTAAAATTTTAATTAAACAAAAAATCATTATCTTTTCTTTTATTGATAATTCATTGTTTAAACGATTTCTAAGGAGTTTCCAGCAAGCATCAGGAATAAAATGAGAAACATTTTGAAGCTGTCACTAAAATCTGTATACACCTTCTTTTATACACCTTTGACCTCAACAGTTTTCGCCCTCGTCACCATCAAAGGATTTTGAAAGGCGAATATTGTAAAAACAAATTAAACTAGATTAAAAAATTACAAATGTATGTGAGATGATGATTGAACTCACCCTTTTAGTTGTATGATTGAACTGTCATTACTAACGTCATCCATGTAGTGGTCCATGGCGTTCTTTTCAATCACGTGACCACATGGCTGCAGCTCAACGAACCGTGCGTATGGCTTGTCTTCGTTTCCGAACACAATCTTGTTAACTTCGTCTTTATTGCAAACTCGACACTTCTTTGGACAAGGTTCACCACACATGCCAATACACCGATGACCACATCGAAGCTTCTTCCTACAGCCTTTGTTGCATCTTGGTCTGTCGCATGTCTCACTGCATGGCTTAGAACATTTATAGTGTTTACATTGCCATTTGCATTTCATCACACAAGGAACACAGCGTTCCCCACACTTGTTCATGCATTTGCTGTGGAAGCATTTATTTTCACAGGGCTGCGAACATGGTGGACAATTCCTTGTACAATCTTCTCTACACAGATGACCACAAAACAACGAGCGATCACATTTAGCTTTACATGGAAGATGAAGGCGGCCTTGAAAGCATTCACCACATGTCCCTTTTAATTAATCAGTAAAGTTAGTCAGTCACTAGAGAAATTGGACACCGATGAATGAAAAAGATGAAATTGCAGTATTAATGAGTTTGTAGGTGAATGAACAGAATGAAGGGATAAAATGAGTTGTACATTTAAGTTAAATGTACCGTGAATGGCTGAAGTTAGGAATAAAAGAAGGAATTGCAGTTCGCACGAGATGGAGAATGGAATAACAAATACAAATTATAAATTAATATAAAGTCCTGGCAAAACAATTTCCAATGCCGCATGCGTCCTAGATAACTCAAATAATTGATGGACTGGATGGGTAACGCTATGCTTCAATGGATGATTTGGAATAAGCGGATTTTCCCTACAATACCTTGACATGGATGTCCACATTTCAAAAGCTCGTGGCAAGGAGTTTTGCACATAGCCTCATCGATGTTCTTGTAGCATTCCACAGTATTTTCGTGGCCACATTTCAGCATCTTTTGAACTTTTGTTGTGCAATTCTTGGGACAAGTGTCAGAACATTTTCTTTTACAATGATGCAGCCCACAGGCAAGGAGTCTTTGACACAGAGCCTGACATTTAAACTCTTTCGGATCCAAGAAGCACTGTACTTCTTGCTTATGTTTACAGTCTGGAATCTCTCTTGTCACAAGAACTTTGCACCTTCCACACGCTTTCCAACAGAGTTTGTGACATTTCACTTTATGAATCTAGTGAAACAATAACCATTAGTATAACACTAAAGGCTTTCTTTAGAAGAACTACTTTTGAACCTATTTGCATTGGAAACTCTCTGTAAAGGACCGTAGCTATCGATGCAGTCGGTTTGGCTTTTTCATTCGGGCCAATAATATCCCATCCCTCAGCCCCTTATGTTTTTTTGGGGGGTAGAACAGTTATTATTATTTAAAGTAATTGAGAGCTATTTACTGTGAGAGCTATTTACTATGATACCTTTTCAAGTACGGTAACAAATAACCTTAATATTACTAGAAGTACCTAACCAGATGTATCCATCTCTCTAGTATAGTAGTCTCGTCACCATATCAGATGTCTCGATAATCTATGTACGTATACGCGCGTTGTGATTGGTTATCTAAAAGTAGGTCATCGTGGCATCTGATAGTGACGAGATTTCTAGCGAGATGGACTTTTTCAGATATGCACTTCTGATATTACTCCTTTCGACTCATGATTTTAGAACGAGTATAAAAAAAAGTTTCAGTGTACCTCGCATAACATCTTTGTACACTTTTCTGGACACTTGTACTTCTTGTGCTCAGGATCGGCCGGATGACAATAACTCTTACACACATGTCCACAGTCAAGTCTTGCAACGCATGGCTCCATGCAGCCTCCCGCTGGTGCTTTTCTGAAGTCCGCTGAGCGAGAAGCGTGAATGATATTCTGAGGATGGTTCCGACAAGTTAGAGTAAGGTGTCGACCAACCTAGAATAACAAGAAGAAATGTTGTATCCGCCATCTTTGCTGACAAATACATGACATTGTAGAATGATTATATCATGAGAATGATTTAAATTGAAAAAAATTCGAAAAGTATGCGAGATTTGAGTGTCATTATATTCAAACCCGTTTCATTGAATTACATGATAGCTAGTCTTAGTAGGGCTTGCAGGAATTAAAACATCCAACACCTAAAAAAATTGAACAGAATTATAGGCTTTTGACTAGTTCCAGATCAAGGTTTCCAAAGACAGGGCTTCCAAAAATAATAGGCGCTAGGACTGTTTACGAGTTTATATTTAGAAGTCTGCAATGGCTAATATAACTGCAGTCTTAGGTACAATTGAAAGTGAACAGTTTTGTTCGAAATAATTCCATTTGTCTCTGGTTTTCATACCTGTCCATTTGCTCGCATGTCAGCGATTATATTTTTCCATAGCACTTCCCTTGCGCTCATCAAGCCCATGTTTCCAATGCAGTAAAATCCTT